ATTTTGTTAAACTGTAGTTATTTATGGAATTCATCCCTTTTAATTTAAAAAGAGAGAGACATTTGCTTATACTTTCTTCTTTTCTTAAAGGTGAAAATTAAATTTGCAAATTAGAAATTTAGCAAAATGTAGCACAGTGAGATGGACTAGCCACAATGAATCCTCTTGGCCAACTTAGCCAACAATTTGTAGAAGTTCCAGATGTTCTCTGTTTCAGCTGACTTCTAAAAATGTGTCTCATATTTAAAAAAAGAAAGAACATTGAAATTGCCACTTGCTCTATTTGGATAAAGGAACTCAACATCTTAACCGTTCACTGCAGGTTGGGCTCGCAGTGATCGTGGTAATATTCTTCCTCCAGCCGTTTTTCTGTTGGCTTTTGCGATTTGAGGGCGTGATACATCTCACACTGGACAAAGTTCATCTATAGATTACATTGTATGAAATTTTGCAGCGCATCTCAAACCCCACAATCCTTTCCCAGTCAGGATCTTACCCTGTTACTTCCTTTGGCATGGTTGGCATAATGAGAAAAGCATGCAATCAGGAAATGGGTTTGGGCCTGCATGTTTTGTTTTGCGATGGTTCTAGAAGGGTTACTTCACATTGTGACTCTTGGCCTCCCTGCTCTAGTGGGCTATTAGTTCCTGTTTGCCTGCCTCAAACAGTTGGTGTAAAGCTGAGATGGATGAATGAGTGAAACATCAAGTGTCGGACTAGTAAGAGAAATGACTTCCCGGCCCGAGAGCGGATCCGTCTGTTCAGTGTCATTTGGTCTGGATGCTGCTGCTGCTGAGCTTTTGGGACGAGACCTTCCGTACTGTTCGTGTCAGAAAAACTCGAAGTGTTATTATCGTGCATTCCTGCCAGGAGAGCTTTCCGTGTGTGTTAGAATTGAAACGAGAGAAGCTCTTGGAATGGTTTGCTTTCCAGGAGACGGCAATCTGTACATTTACTTGCCTGATCTATGTACACCTGTCTTCCTGTCATTTCTGAGAAGTAAGATTTAAATCATGAATGGCTCACTGAAATGTTTAGGTGCCCCTAAGAGAAGGAAAGATAGGATTTTCCCCTCGTTTCCTAGACATAACTGTTGTTGGTAACAGGGAAGAAACCTATGTGCTGTGCACATTCAGAGCAGTATTTGGTTACACCAGGAGATGTGCGTCATGAGGGGGCAAATTGTACATACTTCTCAACAGTTAAGGACGTTTCCATATACAAGGGGGTCTTTAAAACGTTTGTGGAAGAATGCTGTTATCCTTCAATTCCATTTTCCCATGAACTCTGGGAAGCCCTCTTGGAACTCAGCTTGTGGGGGCGCGGGGGGAATTTATCTCTCAACAGTATCACTTCAGGACATCAACATGAAGAAAGCCTTCAAAAGCTCTACCGTGCAAGACCAGCAGGTGGTGTCCAAGAGCAGCGTCCCCAATCCCGTGGCTGACATCTACAATCAGAGTGAGAAACCACCCCCCCTGAACATCCTGACACCCTACAGGTATGCAGTCCTGGCCTCCCCCTACCCCCACCCCCCACAGGCCTCACCCAAGGCAGGAGTTGAAGGGAGCTGGATAGTTCTGGGAGCTTCACATGGGTTGCCCTGAAACATCTTTGAGTGTTTTTTCACTGGATTGTAGAATTAATAATCCACCGCCCCCCATCCCCACCTTTTGTGTGAGAAAACAACTATCAGGGTGTAACTTGTCACAGAATTAGCAAGGTTGGCAGTTCGAAACTACCAGCAGTTCCGCGGGAGAAAGATGAGGCTTTCTGCTCCCATAAAGATTTACAGCCTCAGAAACCCTGTACAGGGTCACTATGGGTCGGAATCGACTCAACAGCATTTATACAACAACAACATAGTATTTCTAAGTCTGGAAACACCCTCCCACAGAAGCATGAGCTCTAAGCTGAACTTTTCAAGAACGTTGTCTTCTGGGGAGTGGATTATATAGCAGTGTGTACGGTCAACCGGCAGTCAGCTTTCAAGGAACTGCATTAATTCACTTAGAAAAGTCTGCCTCTGCATTTCAGCGCTGCGGGAATTCTGTCGTGTAATTCACAGAAAAGTGTTTTCAGCATAGTTAGGGGTTTTTAAGCAAGAAAATATGAAAACACTTATGTAGTCCATGCTCAGTGGAGTAATCCTTGGACTGCTAACCTCAAGGTCAACGGTTCAAACTCACCAGTTGCTCTGTGTAAGAACGATGTGGCTGTCTACTTCCAGGAGATTGACAACCGCAGAATGCCTTTGGGGCAGTTCTACTCTGTCCCCTCAGGTGGGTGTGAGTCAGAAACGACGTAATGGCAGCCAGTTTGGTTTCATGGGTTTAGTATCAGGAGGAAAAACCTCTGTTTTTTTCAAAGCAGTTGCATTACAGGATTTTTATAATACAGGCTGCTTAATAATTAGGAAAGAACGAGAAAGCAAGAAGGATTTTAGATCAATTACAAGGTGAAGTGTTTGGTCAGTTTCACGTCTTTGTTAGTGGTTTTCAGAAGAGCCCCTGCAGGAAAGTAGGACTGAGTAACAGAAACTGAGTAACAGTAACTGATACAACAGAAACTTAGAGGAGGAATAGAGTTTCCCCCTCAATAATTAGGCATAGACACTTTCTTATACCCAACTGATTGTTCTTCCTCTTTGTGCTTTAAAAGGAGCCCTGGTGTCACCGCGGGTTAAGCTCTGGGCTGCTCAGTGCAGTGTTGGTGGTTCAGACTCACCAAGAGAGAAAAGTGCCTCCATGAAGATTTACAGTCTCGGAAACGCTGCGGGGCCCTTCCACTCTGTCCCGTAGGATGTCTCTATGAGTTGGCATCAACCCTGTGGCAGGGGGGTTCCTTTGGTGCCTTGAATGACTTATAAATACTAATTTGAAAGGTAAAGGTTCGACTTCTCCCAGGTGGTACTATACAGACCAAAGACTGTTTTTTTTTAACTTTTTATTGTGAATTGAGTGAAGGTTTACAGAGCAGATCATCAGTTTTACATTCAACTAATCGCATACTATGCTTCAGTACATAGTTACAATTCCCCCATACCCCCTGCACCAACAGTTAACAGCATCTACCTCTATTCACTCCACCACTGCATTCTTCCCTGTGTCTCTCCTCACCCCATCTTTCCTCTGCCAAACACCCTCCAGTGGTACATTGCCTGCCCCATCACCCATGTCAATGCGTGTGTATACTCTAGTGCATGTGTCATTTCTTCCACCCCCAAAACCAGCATAGATTGTTTCTTTTATCAAGAAACAACCCCCTACACACCCCCCTTTTTTTTTCTGTAATGTACAAAAGCGAAAACAAAAAGAACGACCCAGGAATCGTTTAAACAACCAAAGGACACATTCTGCAAGCCTGCCTCCTGGCCGCCAACACACAGCCTTTCTCTTTCCATCAATCTAGTGTCCTCAGCTGCTCCCTCTCTCCATGTCCTCATCTCTGCCTCAATCTCTGGTGTTGCTGCTTCTCTGGCTAGGGTCCCACGTTCAGCTTGTGCTCTTCTTCCTTGATGCAGGCCAAAGACTTTTTAACACTTTGCATAACATGGAGTGTATGCTGTTGTTGTGAAGTGCCGTCAAGTCGATTCTGACCCATAGCCGCCTTATGTAGGGTTTCCAAGGGAGCAGCTGGTGAGCTTGAACCACCGACCTTGCAGTTAAAACAACTTTGCAGTCTGATGCATTAGCCCACAGCGCCACACCAGGATTCCTTGGACTGTATGTGGTTGTTATGTGCCGTGGAATCAGTTCCGACTCATAGCGATCCTGTATAGGGTTTCCGAGGCTGTGAATCTTTGTGGGAGCAGAAAGTCTCATGGAGTGTATTGGTCCTTTCAAAGTTGATTTTGAGATTCAATATTGATTACTACTCAAATCAATACAACTTTGGATTTGTTATCTCCTACATCATTATTAATTTTATGATAAATAAGTTCGATGAAGACATGGACAGTTTTGAGTCCACCATCACACTGGCAGCCCCAGTGAATGTAATGACCCCAACATGAGTGCTTTCTGTCCTGGGGCCACTTCCACTTTGGAAATACTAGTAGGTCATGCTTTTGTCTAGTCACATGAACATTTTGCTTCTTTCCTGACTGACTTTCTAGATGTCGGCCAAGTGTGACTGAGGAAAGGGGCAGGGTCCTTCTTCGTTCTTACCCTAGTCAGCGTTCCAGAGCGGAAGTGGAAGTTTGCGTCTAACAATCCATCCACCTCCATGTCTGGCCCCCTGTTGAAATAAACAAAACATTGCTGAAAACAACTGAGATCCTAAAGCATGGCTACGTAAGAGCCATCTTAGGATTTTCAGAGCAGTTGTGGGTTATTTAATTCTCAGTTTATGAGAGTAGGTTTCAACTGATACCTTAAAACAGGTTACTGATCTTACGTTTTTTCATATTTTTCACATAAGGAAATTCGAGAGAGATTTTAGTGATGTATTTGTTGTTGTTATGTGCTGTCGAGTCGGTTCTGACTCATAGCGACCCTGTATAGGGGTTTCCGAGGCACAGCTGGATAAGATACTTTAAATACCCTGGTTTGGCACTGTCTCTGTACCTGGAATTAATTTACAAAACCAAACTCACTGCCATCGAGTCGATTCTGACTCATAGAGACCCTGTGTAGGGTTTCCAAGGCTGTAAATCTCTAAATGGAGAAGACAGCCTTGTCGTTGTCCCAGAGTCAGATAGTTGGTAGATTTGAATGACCAACTTTCTGGTTGGTCCAACGCTGATCCCACAGAGCCACTAGGGCTCCTCAGATTAATTTACAGTTGAGCTAAAATCAAACAAATATTGAACCCTGTCTGTAAATACCTGACCATGTTCTCGTGTCTGACTTGTCCATTGATTTGTAGAGATGACAAGAAGGATGGGCTGAAATTCTATACTGACCCATCCTATTTCTTTGACCTCTGGAAAGAAAAAATGCTCCAGGACACAGAAGACAAAAGGAAAGAGAAAAGGCGACAGAAGGTAAAGGATTCTATTGTGGGAAATGTGCCTGTTGATGTGCGAATGGATTCGTGTTCGGAGTTCAAGCTGGTGGGCGCTGTGTCTAAACGATGGAGTTGTTATGGTTAGGGACGTTCTCTCAGAGGCGATGTTGCACACGGGAAGACCCTGACCATTCTGTATAACACAGTACACCCTCCCTTGGCTTTAACAAAAGTTGCAGTTGAAGATCACACGTCTGTGTGTCAAAATGTTTCTCCTGCCACATTCCCACAGATTGGATAACTGTCTGCTCTCATCTTTTTAATGGGCTTAGTTGTTGGGTTATGGACACCTGATGTGGTGTTGTAGGATCAGCACTGGACTGCGCATCACAAGGTCAGCGGTTCAAACCCGGCTGCTCCTTGGAATCCTGTACAGGGTCGCTGTGAGTTGGAACTGACTTGACGGCACTTGACAACAGCAATTATTGGGCTGTCATTAAGACCTCGTTGAGATGAGCCTCGTCTGGTGGTGTAACACAGGTGAGCTGCAGGTTAGGGAGTGTTGTTACCGAAGATGGTGGACGAGCCATGAGAAGAAGAACCCAGATTCGAAGGCAGACCATTAGTGCTCCAGGTGTAGTTTGCTACGAACAAGCCACCTCTTCATAGGTTGACTTCTGTAGCAATTGTCTCTTTGCGGCCCAGAGCTTAGACTCAAGGTACTGGGAAGTTAATCCTCTAAATGCAGGTTTCTGTTCAGATTTTTATATGGAAACTCGTCTTTAAAATAACCGCATCGTTTTCACGGCCAACACTAGAGTGCTTTGGTTCAGACAAATGCTTGACATTCTGTGGGTTGATGGCCTTCAGGTGGTGAGATGTATCTGACCATGAGAGAGGATCTGGGGTGGAGGAAATGGTCTGGGCTTCGGCTCAGCTTTGCTTTTACGCCGTTTACGGACACCTTTGACTGGGGCTCTCAGAACCAGCACTCGGCCGTGTCTCTAACGACTACATGAGAAGTTCCCATTTGCTACTGTTGAGCAATCAGACTTGGGGTAGTGAAGGGCACATTATAAAACCACAAATGACATTTCAGCTTTGATTGGGATTCGTTGATGGTGCGAGAGCCCTGGTGGCACTTTAGGAAAATCACCGAACTGTTAGCTGCAAGGTTGGCAGTTCAAATCCACAAGCCACTCCATGGGAGACAGATGAGACTATCTGCTCCTGTGAAGACTTACAGCTAAGGGACCCCTATAAAGCATTGCTATGAGGCAGAATGGATCCTGGTGTAGTGCTGCAGGGTAACCTGACTAACAGATCATCAGTTCCAATCTACCAGCTGCTCCTTGGAAACCCTATACAGGGTTACTATGCGTCAGAACCGACTGATAACAGGGACTGAGAACAGACAGTACTAGCGGATTTTAGGGACAGGTCCAGAGGACTGACTCTTCATATTCTCATCGTGGTACTGACGGGCTGGGGAGATCTCAGAAAATTGGGGAACATATCAAAGTGAAGAAAAGAAAGATAGTAGTATCTCAGATGGACAAGAAACAGATGTTCAAAGCCATGTTGGTTGTAAGCCTCCAACCTTCTTATAGAAACAAAATAAACGCTCGGCTTTGGAAATTTTTCCCCTTGCAAACTTTCTTGTCCACTTAAAGCCTTCCAGGTTGCCCGAGATCTAAATAATACTTTTGGTAAACATATTTCATTTTCTGCCAGTGCTCTCGGGGAAAAAGTCTTAACGTATCTGTCATCGTTGAGTATCCAAACGGATTTGTCATTTCCTCGGCTGTTTTGTCTCATTACATCCGCTACAAACGCACCAGATTCAGATGAGAATTCCTTTTTCCTTATCTGAAGGCATTTGTATAATGCGTCTCTTTGGAAGGCCTTCGAAATATGCTGGATAAATGGAGGTGAAAAAGACAGGATCCCTGGGGTTCAGTCTAATGAGGGACATAGCGTACTGGCCAAATCCCGCCCCCAGCAAACATACAAATAAACGATAGTGACACGGACGTGCAATTATCAATAGGAGCCGTCGTGCAGGAATAGGAGCCGTCGTGCAGGTGAGCATTGTAGGGAAAGTGTGGGGTGCGGTGCTAGAGTTTAGTGCCGTCAAGTGGGTTCTGACTCATTGTGACCTTATATAGGATTTCCTGAGGAGCAGCTGGTTAGTTTGAACCACCGATCTTGCACCTCAAACCACCCTAAATTATTGTCCAGTGCTTATCCTACAGCGTCCCACCAGGGCTCCGGGGTGCCGGGAGAGGGGTGGGTGGTGTGGGGTGTGGTGAGGGGCATGCAGGCAGGCCTCCGTTGTTTATTCTGCCATCTAAAGGGGGATCTTGTTTACTTGTACACGTGTGCATGTGTGTGGGTACATGTTCCCGAACGTGTGTGTGCTTGTGTGCACATTATGTATGCGTGTTTGTGTACGTGTGGGGAGGGGATGCTAGAGGGATGGCAGGCGGATGAGAATGGGGCACTTAACAACTGGGGGGCATTCTCAGCAGAAACAGATGCAGTCAGCCTGGGGTAGTGAGCTGTGGGTAATGCCTAGGGTGTGACTGTCGGCCAGTGTGGCTGAGCGCCCGTTCATTACTTTCATCAGTTCATCGCTGTTAGCATTTTGTCATATTGAGTTCACGTGTGTGTGTGTGTTGGGGGTAGGAACCCATGTTGACTGATCAATTTGGGGACTGAGCCATTGTCATGAAAGTTGTAGGAAGTTGTCACTAAGTCCTTAAATACAAGGGGGCTTCAGACAGTTTGTGGAAAAGTGAAATTGAAAGCTAAAGGAATGATGTTTCCATGAACTTTTTGAAGTACCCTCATTCATATGTCAGTTTATATTTCTTTTAGAAGTAAGGGTGAGAATTATTGGATTATTTATTATAGAGGTTTTTAATCATCTGTGTCAATCACGTGACATCTTCCCATGTCGCCCTGCCCCTCTTTCTGGCCCTTTGGGTTCTAAGACTGACTGCCCCAACAGTCCATGAAAGCCAAGGCCATTAAGACGCTCTCCCCTCAGAAGGAACTGCTGCTAATGCTGAGTGCCATCCAGTCGGTTTCAACTCACAGCACCCCCGTGTGACAGCAGAACTCTAGAGGCTGCCATCTGTTGTGGCACTGTATATTTGTTGTTGTTAAGTGGCATCGAGTCAGTTCAGACACATAGTGACTATGGCATTTCTAAGGAGCAGCTGGTGGGTTTGAACCACATACCTTGAGGTTCAAACTGAACTTGCAGTTCAGTGCATTATCCTGCAGCCACACCTGGACTCCCTATATACACTTATAGATCATCCACTCACAGCACCCCCTGGTGTAACAGAGGAGAACTGCCCTACAGGGTTTCCTAGGCTGTCATCTATTGTGTCACTATATACTCATATATACTCTTATAGATCATCCACTCACAGCACCCCCTGGTGTAACGGAGGAGAACTGCCCCACAGGGTTTCCTAGGCTGTCATCTATTGTGTCACTATATACTCATATATACTCTCATATATCATCCACTGACAGCGCCCCCTGGTGTAACAGAGAACTGCCCTACAGGGTTTCCTAGGCTGTCATCTATTGTGTCACTATATACTCGTATATACTCTCATAGATCATCCACTCACAGCGCCCCCTGGTGTAACAGAGGAGAACTGCCCACACGGTTTCCTAGGCTGTCATCTATTGTGTCACTATATACTCATATATACTCTCATATATCATCCACTCACAGCGCCCCCTGGTGTAACAGAGGAGAACTGCTATAGGGTTTCCTAGGCTGCCATCTTTTTGGAAGCCGACAGCCAGGTCTTTCTCTCAAACATTGTTAGTAGCAGCAGTTTGGTATATATCCTTTTAGAATTTGTTCTTGTTAGGTTCCATCAAGTTGATTCCAACTCATAGTGCCCCTGTGTAGGATTTTCCGAGTTTGTAAATCTATACAAGAGCAGAAAACCTTATTGTTGTCCCTGGGAGTGGCTGGTGGGCTTGAACCACCAACCTTGCAGTTAACAGTCCAGTACTTCTCCTCACATCTCCAGTGCTCCCCTTTAGACCTTTAAAGTGGTCATTAATACATTAGCACACATTTTACCAGATATTTTGATACAAATAGAATTACGCTACACATGACTGTTTTAGGTATATGAGGTACCCATATACCTCATTAAAGATCTTTTTAATTAGTTGAGTAGTACTCCCAGGTTCAGATGCCTGATGTAGCTTTTACCCGTTACCATATCCATGATAATTAAACTGTATCCCAATTTTTACAATTACACTACTGCAGTGCATTTGTGGGCATCCTGGTACCCATATGGTCATACCCACGTGGCTGGCATTTCTTCAGAATGAATTCCTAGCATTTGAATTGCTGCCTCCAAAGGAATATGAGTTTTAATGCCTCCCGCCCTTAAAAGACCAACCAGCTTCTACCCTTGACAATAATTACTATTTTTTACAAGCCAGAAAACAAGTACAGTTTGCATGACACCTACTTTCATACCCTTATTGGTTGATGGTGGTGTGCCATTGAGTCGGTTAGAGACCCTGTATGGGGTTCCGAGGCTGTAAGTCTTAGGGGAGCAGAAAGCTTCATCTTTTCTCCGGTGGAGAGGATGGTAGGTTTGAACTGCAGTCCAGCTCAGGTTCCTTCATATCCATGTTAACTATGTGGCTATCTTCATGCCCAACTACCTCTGAAAACATGTCCCCACTCTTTCCCACTTTTAAGTAGTAGAATCATCTAGGCAGATGCTTTCTCCTTGCGTCAGCCCTGACCATCTTGTCAGACATTCTTCAATGTTTTCCCAAGGTGTCTCAGAAAAGAACAGCATTTTTTAACATGGCCTTCGTGACCTTCTCTTGGGCTGGTCATGCTTTCCACTGACCACTGACTTCCTCCTCTGTGCCCTTCCACGTTCTCCTCCCTCTCCTGACCCGCCATTCTTTTCCGAAGCCGTGTAGTCCACTACAGAGCCTGACCCCCTCCCCAGGCTCCCAGATCAGGCCGTGTCTCATGGTCATGTGTTTGCATGTTACCAGTTTGTCACCTCCCCCCGGACCACGAGTGTGACAGAAGTAGATGACATGTATCTCTGTGGTGTCCCCCTCAGTGTGTCACCTCCCCCCGGACCACGATTGTGACAGAGGCAGATGACATTCATTTCAGTGGTGTTTCCCTCAGTGTGGCACACAGTAAGAACTCTCAGTTCTTGTAGCCCTGGTGACAAGCTTGGTCATTTCATGAAGTACTTATTGAGTGTACCATGTGGGCAGTGGTAAGACATTAGGCTGTTAACCCTAAGGTTGGCAGTTCGAGCTCCCATAAAGGGTTATAGCCTCAGGTACCCTATATAGGGTCACGATGAATTGGAAGTGACCCCACAGCACACCACCACCATGACCACCACCACCATGTGGCGCTGCAGGTCAGCCATTGGGCAGCTAACCTTAAGGTGGGTGGTTCAAAGTCATCAGCCGTTCTGAGGGAGAACGATGTGCCTGTCTGCTCTGGTAGAGATTGTCCAGTCTGGGAACCCCGGGTAGGTCACTGTGACTCACTATTGCCTTGGTAGCAGTGTGTTTGCTTGTTGTGGGGGTTTGTTGTCTTTGTCTTTGTTTTTTAACTCTGTGTACCAGGGGAATTCTGGTGTGGCACTGCAGGGTAATTCACTGGTCCGAAAAGTCAATTTGAACAGTAAGGTCAGCAGTTCAAACCCACCAGCTGGTCCTCAGAAACCCTATACAGGGTCACTATGAGATAGAACCAACATGATGGCACTTAACAGCAACAACAGGAGCCCTGGTGGCACAGTGGGTTAATGATGTTATTGTGGTTAAGTGCCGTCAAGTCGATTCTGACCCATAGCGACCCTGTATAGGGTTTCCAAGGAGCAGCTAGTGAGCTTGAGCCACCAATCTTCTGAAAAATCAATGATTTGTTCATTTCAAGTACCTTCTTTAGACAGTATAAGAGATGACTATACACATGGACCTCACCAGATAGAATACATAGAAATCAAATTGACTACATCTGTGTAAAGAGACGGTGGAAAAGCTCCATATCATCAGTGAAAACAAGGCCGGGGCAGACTGTGTAACACACCATCAATTGCTCATAAGCAAATTCAGACTGAAGCTGAAGAACATGGAAACAAGTCCATGAGAGCCAATATATGACCTTGAATAGATCCCAACTGAATTTAAAGATCTTCTGAAGAACAGATTTGATACATTAAACACTAAAGACCGACGACTAGAAGAGTTGTGGGATGACATCAAGAACATCATACGTGAAGAAAGCAAAAAGTCATTGAGAAGACAAGAAAGAAGGAAAAGGTCAAAATGGATGTCAGAAGAGACACTGAAACTTGCTCTCCAGCATAGAGATGCTAAAGCAAATGGAAGAAATGAGGAGGTCCAAGAGCTGAACAGAAATTTTCAAACATCAGCTTGAGAAGGTAAAGCCAAATATTACAATGAAATGTGCAAAGATCTGGAGTCAGAAAACCAAAAAGGAAGAACACGCTTAGCATTTGTCAAGCTGAGGGAACTGAAGAAAAATTCAGCCTCGACTTTTGTTATTGAAGGATTCTCTGGGCAAATTATTAAATGATGTGTAAAGCCTCAAGAGAAGATGGAAGGAATACACAGAGTCACTGTGCCAAAAGGAAATGGTTGATGTTCAGCCGTTTCAAAGTGGTAGCAGCATATGATCAAGAGCCAATGATACTGAAGGAGGAAGTCCAAGGTGCATTGAAGGAACTGGCAAAGAACAAGGCACCAGGAATTGATGGAATAA